GTGAGTGTGGTATTTGTAGCTCTGTCATCATCTCTGTATGAGACGATATTTGCTTTGGACCTGCTCAATATCAAGGCCTAGTGATAGTCTAGGGCTGCTTTCGCAGGCTTAGATCTACTTCACCATTTCCAATTTTGCCTCTGAGTCCTTTCTGGGGTGATATTTTCACCTGGGGACAGTGTAGTTTTCATTTTAATAGTACCCCGTCTGAGTCCCTTTTAGCCCCACTTCCTTTTGGCGCTTTTATTTTACATTACTCTATTTGCAACTCTTCTTCTTCTTTATAAGCTCTAAGGGGTTTACGGAGAGATAACTAATAATCTATATACACGCACAACTTATCCATTTCATTTGCTTACAAGCTTTATCATTTCGTGCCTGTCCTACTCTCCTTTTCACTGCTTTATAATTCTCAACTCAAGGGGATCTCCTCTCTTCTCTCACACACTGTCTCTTTTCCAACAGCCCACAAGGAACGCATGTTACTGTTATTGAGACATCGAGTCAGAGTCACTCACCCTGCTCTCATCTCTCTTCTCTCGGGGCCGACCAGCATTTCTCTACCGTCCTTCAAATCGGCTGGGCAGTGTGTCCTTTCAGGGGTTCCTCCAGCATAATCCTCCTCCTTTCACGTCGTCTCAATCTCCCGTTGACTCCTCCTCCTTCAGAAGCTGGGGACTCAGACGCAATGGGCCAGAACCAAACACTGGCCCAAACAACGCGAGACCAGACCAGCACGAAAGACCACGCCAGCAGTCTGCAAACAATTTAAGGTCTCAGCCCAGAACGTCGGCAGTACAGAGCTGCGGGCAGATACCCGGTCTGACAGGGTTCTGAGCACTGGGCTACGTCATGCAGATCTCGCGCGCAGTGAGCCTAGCCAGCAGAGCACCTGACTAGTCATCGGTGCCTAAAACCCCCCCCCAAAGGGGACCAGGTTATTAGGTCGGACAGCCGTGCTCCCCGGGAATAAAATTCACAAAAGCACGCTCAGCTTCCTTCTCTCATGCATCTCAAACACCGGCGGCATCCTGGTTTCCCAGTGGTGCTAGACTATCGCGCCCGCCACGAGACTGCACCCGCTCCACCTTATCTGCCCCGGTCACAACCTTCACCCGAGCTCTCGGAGCCGAATCCCTTTTCATCCTAGAGAATCAGCTCATCCCACAGGCTTCTCTCCATCGATCTCCAAGGGGGACCACCAACCCCGCAGCTCCACATCACCAGGTATGGGTTTGGGGAGGTGAGTGAAGAAGACTTTATCCGCAGCAGCTCCTATCATATCGGGCTCACGTTCAACCGCCATGATTAGGCTCCACCCCCGTTCTTGAATCTCATTGGGCGGTTTTGGACCGAAATCAAACCATGCTGGTAATACTACTCTGTATTGTGACCATTTTACAAATATGTAAACAGTAATAAAAAATGATTCAATGTATGAACTTAGGTTATGCTCGCGATAGAAGTGTTATTGATGGCTAGAGTCGAGTTAGTACCGATTCTTTTTTTCGCAAGTGCTCGCAGCTCACCAGTTACTGATACCTACTATGGCTCTCTGGATGCATTTAATCTATTTTACGCATCATACCCAGCTACCCAGACCTCGCCCTGGTGCGTGTATAATGGTAGAGTTACTTGCCAGAGGCGTTATGCGGCTGGATGTCACGGCTCCACACTGCCCGCGCCTCCACGCGACATACCATCGGCTCCCCTTGCAATAACAGCTGCGGTTATGGTTAGACTGGTTTCGTGCTCGAAAGAATGATGTTGCGGTCTCTGTTTTGACAGCAGGGATTCTTCAAGGCTGTGATGGGATTCACTTTTGGGTGGGTGGGATCTCAATGGAACCCAGGCTCACTATTGGAGTAGTTGGGGAGGACCGCTGTCTCAGCTCCCCATATCACCTCTTATGTGTAAGTCCACCCTGTGCCCTGTTTAGGGGTGCCAGGGTGAGCTCTAGTTTTCTAATATTGTGTAGACCACATGTTTAGGAGATCAGGTGGGTGGGGCGTGTTAGTGGGATTGTTTGATATCATGTGAGTATGTATGTATATATTGTGGCAGTACGGTATCCTGCCACGGTGGAAATCATGATGGACACCCAGGATTCTCAACTATACAGGTTGAGGGGCTCCAGGCAGATCTCATAATGCAGAGGAAACTGGTTTATCAGTTTCCTCTTTGGTTTGTAAAGCCTGTTTTGGGACCTGTAGCCTGGAGATTTCTTAGAGATTTGGGAGGGATGAAATCTCCAATCCTGGGCCCATATTTTGGCAGCAGCCAGCGTGCTGATTGCACAGGTGTGTGCAGGCCTTTTAGGGGAGGCCAGGCCATGATTTTGGGCTCCACCCCAGCAGAGAGGAGTCAGGAGGGCTCCACCCTGGCAGACAGGAGGTCTCTGCCTTGGAGTCAGGTGGAAGCCAGACTAGCTGTGTGCTAGTGGCCGTAATTTGGGAAGAATCTGCAGGAGAATCTTAGTTGGTATTGCTTGATGGTGGATACCCCTGCGTGGGAAGCATTTGTGTTATTTGAACTTTCTTTTAAATAAAATTGGGCAAAAAGGCCCTTAAGAAGAAGCAAGTTGCTGTGTGCTTTGAAGAAGCTCTACCACTAGAAGCGAGAACCCCACTATATATATATATATATATATATAAAATCTTGTATCTGTGCTCAAATAAAGTAGTCTTGTATGGTCAGCTGTGGTGTCTGTGCTCGGGTGTTTGGACGGGGAAGCTGTATTCTAACGAAAGTACCCAATCTCAGATTGGGTTGGTTCCATTACAAGCCCCCTTTATGCAGCGGTTCAGGTGCCATTTAGGTGTGAATTGTCAAAGTGTATGGCAATGGAAACCACACTTGAACCATGCTCGAATGTGCAGCATAGTGGCTAAATGATTAGGATTTCTCATGGCAGTACTCGGGTTGTTGGTTTGAATCTAAACCACGGCACCACCTGCCTGGAGTTTGCATGTTCTCCCTGTGCGGGTTTCTTCTGGGTACCCCGGTTTCCTCCCACACTCCAAAGACATGCTGGTAGGTTAATTGGCTCCTGTCTAAATTGTCCCTAGTATTTGTATGTATGAATGTGAGTTAGGGACCTTAGATTGTACGTTCCTCGGGGGTGGGGACTGATGAGAATGTACAAGTTAGGGTTAGAGTTGGGGACCTTAGATTGTACACCCCTTGAGGGTTATGGACTGATGTGAAAATATGCGGGCCCACACATATATGAAGCAACTCCGTTGCAAAGGCTACAGGTTCCCACGTCATGTGAATCGGACGCAGTTCACAACGTATCTAATTTGGCTAATATACGTATCTGATAGAGTTCTCCTCCCATTTCATATCTAGAGAAAATTAAAAACTCCGTCACCAGTTTTCTAAACATCAATTTTAAACCCCTCGCCCTCCAGAGGATTTCCCTCCCTTCCTGACCAGGCCATTTTTCACGATACGGCGCTGCGTTACTTTAACTGACAATTGAACAGTCATGCCACGCTGCACCCAAATGAAATTTAGATCCTTTTTTTACTCCCCCACAAATACAGCTTTCTTTTGGTAGTATTTGATCTCCTCTGCTTTTTTTATTTTTTGCCCTATAACCAAAAAAAGGTTCACAATTTTGAGAAAAGAACCATGTTTGACATTTTGCTATAAAACATGACCAGTAAAAAAAAAAATAAAAAATAAAATGTCATCATAAATTTAGGCCAAAATGTATTCTGCTTCGTCTTTGCTAAAAAAAAAAAAAATCACCACCGTTGGTTTCACCGGCCGTCTTCTCTCCCCGGCGCCGACATCTTCATTGTGGGCACCCGGCTGTGACAGCTTGCAGCTTCACAGCCGGGTGCCCACTGCACATGTGCGAGAAGTGCTGCGCTTTGTGAATGGCCCCGTAGTCTTCTGGGACCTGTCATGTGTCCCAGAAGACTACGGGGAGGGAGGGGGGGCAGGACAACTTCTGCTTCCAATCGCCTAGGTGACCGCAGCAGAAGTGGGAGCGGGTACCTGTCAAACTCGGGTACCCGCTCTCCAAAGGTGCCACTCCTTAATGGGGAGCAGGGGACCAAGGCTTAAGGAGGAGCTCCACCCAAAAAGGGGAAGTTCCGCTTTAAGTACTTAGTATCTGGTTTCCAATGACTCAATCTCTGCTCTACTTGTGCAAATAGTGTGCAGTGAGCCCTCTCACCAGTCCAGGTGTTACAGAACAACTCTGGTTCTTCTTGCGGCAATAGTGGTCTCACTTCATCAGTGGCACTTCCAGCCTTGCACCCACCGATACACTGGAACCAAACGCCGTTCATAGGCCTCAGTGTCTGGTCATTCACCCTGTGAACGGGCTGTGTGCAACAGGACTGCAGTGCACACCTCTGCTGCAAAGAGTCTAGCTGAGCAGTCTCTGAAAATCAGCCCAAATCCTCCTCCTTGCCCCAATGCCTCTTGGGAATTATAGTGCAAAGGGTCCACAGTATGGCTTACTTCTTGGACTCCAAGTCCTATGATCCTCAGCATTCTGCATAGGAGTCCATAAGCTTTCCTGGTTATAGCTCTCTCCCTACTGACAGGAGGCAATGTCTCCTCAATGTGTCTGTAGTCCGGCACCTGACTGCAGGTAAAACGTTGGAATAGAGCCAGTCACTGGGAATGAAAGTGATGGGAATCCCAAATGCTGTGTTGTCAGCCAGAAAGGAACAGAAGGAAAATGTATCAATGGGAATCCCTTGTTCCCATAACCACCATCCAAGAGAGATTTCCTTTGCTGTCTATAAGTGAAGAAAAATCTCCACAATAGGACATAGGTGGCAAAAAAAATATACCGTATTTTCCGGCTTATAAGACGACTTTTTGACCCTTGAAAATCTTCTCAAAAGTCGGGGGTCGTCTTATACGCCGGTATACGTCAGGGTGGCACTTTTTAGGGGGCGGCGCGGTGCCGCCGCCGTCCCCCCCCCTTCCGACGGAAAGGACACTAAGTACAGGGGTGGGCAGAGGGCTGCTGTCTCTTACCTGCTCCCACGACGATCCATCCAGGAAGCGCTGCTCCTTCAGTCACTCCGGCCACTCCCTCACTCCTGCAGCTCGGCTCGACACCAATGATGGGGCACTATTCCTCCTCCACTGACACCAATGATGGGGCACTATTCCTCCTCCACTGACACCAATGATGGGGCACTATTCCTCCACTGACACCAACGATGGGGCACTATTCCTCCCACCGACACCAACGGTGGGGCACTATTCCTCCCACCGACACCAACGGTGGGGCACTATTCCTCCCCCCACTGACACCATCGATGGGGCACTATTCCTCCCCCCACTGACACCATCGGTGGGGCACTATTCCTCCCACCGACACCAACGGTGGGGCACTATTCCTCCCACTGACACCAACGGTGGGGCACTATTCCTCCCACCGACACCAACGGTGGGGCACTATTCCTCCCACCGACACCAACGGTGGGGCACTATTCCTCCCACCGACACCAACGGTGGGGCACTATTCCTCCCACCGACACCAACGGTGGGGCACTATTCCTCCCACCGACACCAACGGTGGGGCACTATTCCTCCCACCGACACCAACGGTGGGGCACTATTCCTCCCACCGACACCAACGGTGGGGCACTATTCCTCCCACCGACACCAACGGTGGGGCACTATTCCTCCCCCCACTGACACCAACGGTGGGGCACTATTCCTCCCCCCACTGACACCAACGGTGGGGCACTATTCCTCCCCCCACTGACACCAACGGTGGGGCACTATTCCTCCCCCCACTGACACCAACGGTGGGGCACTATTCCTCCCCCCACTGACACCAACGGTGGGGCACTATTCCTCCCCCCACTGACACCAACGGTGGGGCACTATTCCTCCCCCCACTGACACCAACGGTGGGGCACTATTCCTCCCCCCACTGACACCAACGGTGGGGCACTATTCCTCCCCCACTGACACCAACGGTGGGGCACTATTCCTCCCCCCACTGACACCAACGGTGGGGCACTATTCCTCCCCCCCACTGACACCAACGGTGGGGCACTATTCCTCCCCCCACTGACACCAACGGTGGGGCACTATTCCTCCCCCCACTGACACCAACGGTGGGGCACTATTCCTCCCCCCACTGACACCAACGGTGGGGCACTATTCCTCCCCCCACTGACACCAACGGTGGGGCACTATTCCTCCCCCCACTGACACCAACGGTGGGGCACTATTCCTCCCCCCACTGACACCAACGGTGGGGCACTATTCCTCCCCCCACTGACACCAACGGTGGGCACTATTCCTCCCCCCACTGACACCAACGGTGGGGCACTATTCCTCCCCCCACTGACACCAACGGTGGGGCACTATTCCTCCCCCCACTGACACCAACGGTGGGGCACTATTCCTCCCCCCACTGACACCAACGATGGGGCACTATTCCTCCCCCCACTGACACAACGATGGGGCACTATTCCTCCCCCCACTGACACCAACGATGGGGCACTATTCCTCCCCCCACTGACACCAACGATGGGGCACTATTCCTCCCCCCACTGACACCAACGATGGGGCACTATTCCTCCCCCCACTGACACCAACGATGGGGCACTATTCCTCCCCCACTGACACCAACGATGGGGCACTATTCCTCCCCCCACTGACACCAACGATGGGGCACTATTCCTCCCCCCACTGACACCAACGATGGGGCACTATTCCTCCCCCCACTGACACCAACGATGGGGCACTATTCCTCCCCCCACTGACACCAACGATGGGGCACTATTCCTCCCCCCACTGACACCAACGATGGGGCACTATTCCTCCCCCACTGACACCAACGATGGGGCACTATTCCTCCCCCCACTGACACCAACGATGGGGCACTATTCCTCCCCCCACTGACACCAACGATGGGGCACTATTCCTCCCCCCACTGACACCAACGATGGGGCACTATTCCTCCCCCCACTGACACCAACGATGGGGCACTATTCCTCCCCCCACTGACACCAACGATGGGGCACTATTCCTCCCCCCACTGACACCAACGATGGGGCACTATTCCTCCCCCCCACTGACACCAACGATGGGGCACTATTCCTCCCCCCCACTGACACCAACGATGGGGCACTATTCCTCCCCCCACTGACACCAACGATGGGGCACTATTCCTCCCCCCACTGACACCAACGATGGGGCACTATTCCTCCCCCCACTGACACTAATGATGGGGCACCATCATTGGTGTCAGTGGGAGGAATAGTGCCCCATCGTTGGTGTCAGTGGGAGGAATAGTGCCCCATCGTTGGTGTCAGTGGGGGAGGAATAGTGCCCCATCGTTGGTGTCAGTGGGGGGAGGAATAGTGCCCCATCGTTGGTGTCAATGGGAGGAATAGTGCCCCATCGTTGGTGTCACTGGGAGGAATAGTGCCCCATCGTTGGTGTCACTGGGAGGAATAGTGCCCCATCGTTGGTGTCAGTGGGAGGAATAGTGCCCCATCGTTGGTGTCAGTGGGAGGAATAGTGCCCCATCGTTGGTGTCAGTGGGAGGAATAGTGCCCCATCGTTGGTGTCAGTGGGGGGAGGAATAGTGCCCCATCGTTGGTGTCAATGGGAGGAATAGTGCCCCATCGTTGGTGTCACTGGGAGGAATAGTGCCCCATCGTTGGTGTCAGTGGGAGGAATAGTGCCCCATCGTTGGTGTCAGTGGGAGGAATAGTGCCCCATCGTTGGTGTCAGTGGGAGGAATAGTGCCCCATCGTTGGTGTCAGTGGGAGGAATAGTGCCCCATCGTTGGTGTCAGTGGGAGGAATAGTGCCCCATCGTTGGTATCAGTGGGAGGAATCGTGCCTCATCGTTGGTGTCAGTGGGTGGAATCGTGCCCCATCATTGGTGTCAGAGCGAGGAATCGTGCCCCATCATTGGAATACCATACCATATTGAAATCAAATCTGATGTTTTTTAATTTTTATTTGGTGTGCGTTGGAAGAGGGCTAGTCTTATACGGCGAGTATAGCCCAAACCCTATAATTTAACAGGAAAAGTACGGGGTGCGTCTTATACGCCGGAAAATACGGTAATAGGGATTTCAACTCATCCCCACTTTTATCTAAAATGAAAAAAAAAAAAAATTTTTTTTGTCTTTTTTCCAATATATAAATATTTAATTCCGATTTTTTTTTTTGCTGTTTTTTTTTTTTCCAAAGGTGAGAAGCTGGTGGAGCAGATTCTGTTGGATAAACTTGGACACTCACTAGATCCTGATCTGGACGGTAAAGATAGACAATCTTTGATGGACAATAGGACCAATTTTGTCAAGCGTGCTTTTAATTTGGGCTTCCCCTTCTCGGAGGGCTTCTGGATTCAAGTAATTCCATTTGTAGCCGAAACACATGAAAACCTCCATACACAGAAGTTTAACCCCCCTGGCGGTATTCCCGAGTGTAGCTCGGGGTTAATTATCAGTGCCAAAAGCAGTAACCCCCCCCGAGCTACACTCGGGAATACACGGCAGCATTGCTCCGGGATCCCTCGATCGCTTACCTTGTCCTTCGCTCCCGCGATGTCCCTCCTACAGCGTCCCCGGCCATCTGTCTTCCGGGTTCCGTTCCCTGCGACGTCGGGACGTACGGGGGACGGAACTGGTGGGAAATTTAAAAATTTTAGAAAGTGACTTTCACTAAATCCACTAAAATCACATAGTATAACATTCCTGTATCAAACCATTTCACATACATTGTGTCCCGAGTGCTTTGTCCGGCGCCCTGCCTGCATTTTTACCGCCCTTTCTGCCTGGAAACTGAGAAACGTCCATGGCGTCCAAAAAGCGTCCCTTTAGGTCAGACGCGGTTTTAGACCGGCTAGAGAACAGCGATAGTAAATTAGAACCACTTGCAGAATTGAGTGATAATGATTGGTGGGGGAAATTCCTCATCAGACACTGAAAACGATTCTGCGACTTTGCTCAGCGATGTGCGAACTTGGCGCTATATTTCACATTTCAGTGTTTTTGGTTTGATTATATTATTGAATTACATTTATTATTATTATATTATTATTTTTTATGATTATTTATTAAATTATAATTTATGATTTCGTGTTTCAAATTTTATCATATCCGGAATGTTTACTAGACTCTTGTCCGGACAGATTTCAGTGAGTTATTCCTAAAAATTACAGGCCGACAATAAAAAAACAACATATTTCCATCCAAAAAAAATGTACCGCTTTGAGCACAGAAACATTGACATCATCAGACCGCTAGGGAGGTTAACTGCAATAAAAGGGTTTCTATAAAAATATTACTAGAAACATGTAGAATTTCAATAGATCACTTAATTCTATCAAGTGATGAAGACCAATTAAAATGTACAATTCAAAAGCTGCACATTATAAAAATCTTTGTCCTACTGATCTGGATAAATATTACAAGTTTCTGCAAAATTGATTCTACATCCAAACTCAGCACTGCAAGTCACAATGCTATAAACCCTCTTCAGCATGCAAACCACACAGATTCCCCGGGGAACGGTCATAGAAGAAAATATCTGTATCTTTACGTAAGTTGTATCTCAAGACAACTCGGTATGAGCTCAAAGTTCAGACACGATTGCCTGAATGTTTACCTGTTTTGCGGGAGCTGAATGTCATGTACAATAGGCTGTCAATGGGCGTTAAGAACACCGGTAGATGCAGGCCCAGTCTAGTCCTCAGGAAGCAGTTGCTGTCACAAGGCCCGGACTGGCCATAGGGCACACCGGGCATTTATCCGGTGGGCCGGGGCCACCTGGATAGAAGGGGCGACCAGGCGACACATTAGAGGAACCGGTCCATCTCCTGCATGCCGTGGACTCCTGCATGCTCCCCTTGCGGCTGCCCCCTCATCTCCTGCACCACTGCCGCCGAGTTCCCCCCTCCCTGCAGCTGCTGCGGGGGATCTGTCAGCATATTCTGTCTCCAGGGCTGGCAGTTCCCCGCCCACCACAGATGGGAAAGGAGAGAGAAAAGCTGATTTTGCCTCTCCTTGTCCTTCCCTTTCCTAATGTGTTAGCCCCAACCACACTCCCTACCAGCCTTGTGTTTTCTCTTTTCCTTTCTTTCTTTCTTTCTTTTTCTTTTCTTTTTTTTCTTTCTTTCTTTCCCTCCTTCCTACTTTCCCTTTCTTTCTTTTGCTTTCTTTCTCTTTCTTTCTTTCTTTCTTTCTTTCTCTTTCTTTCTTTCTTTTTCTCTTTCTTTCTTTCTTTTTTTTCTCTTTCTTTCTTTTTCTCTTTCTTTCTTTTTTTCCTTCCTTCCTTCCTTCTTTCCCTCCTTCCTTCTTTCCCT